TATAATAAGCTAAGGCTCAATACAACAAAGGCAAACTCAACAGAAACTTAGATAACTTCAATTAACTTTGCCAGAATGGCGCACTAATTAATGAACATTGAGTAAATTATACTTCTTTATGCCTTGCCACCTAAAGAAATTCAAATTGCATTGATGTGGAATATAAAAATGTGTAAAAATGATGAAAATGTAGCAGCAGAAGCTGAGAAAACTATTCAAATAACTTCTCGTGAGCTTTTGAAATTACGGTGTTCGTGGCTGGGGTGCTGATGGTGTGGCGCTGTGCAAAGTTCACCATCGCCATGTGTACCGACCAACACTCGAGTACGCTTAATTTTATTAAAATCTTACTAATGAATGAAAAGTTGATCCTTTTAACTCGAATGTTTTGAGCCATGCCAGCCTGTCTGTCGATGTTTGTGAGACGCGTGTCTGTTGGCAGCTGGGTTAAATGAATAGCGAATGTTTGCACGAAAGCGAATGCAAAATATAACGCAGGTATTTGCCAGAAGTTGCTCAACAATAGAAATTGCTCGATGAGTACATTCTGTTTGCTGTGTGAACGCATGCGCTTGCTTGGCTGCGCTACGCAGGTGGCTTATCAAGAGTAAAAGGCAATAGACAAAACGTTTTTTGTGTGGATATGGATTAATTGCATTTAAAAAGGCATTTTAAATTATTTTTCAAAATAGCAAGCATAACACCCTTCATAAGAGCATTTCTTATATCATAAAAGTGTATAAAAATATCTTTATATTGATTTTAAATGGTCAGTTTGTACGGCAGTTATATGCTATAGTAGTCCGATCTAAACAGAAATTTGCAGATCGCAGCATTGTCTTGGACTAAAGTTCGTGCCAAATTTCTTGAAAACATTTTATCAAATAAAAGAGTTTCTGTTGCAGAAACTTGGTTTTGATCGATCAATTTGCATGATAGCTTTGTGCTATAGTGCTCCCATCTAAACAGTATTCTAAAAGGGTTTAGCATTGTCTTGGCCAAAAGGTCATGTAAAATTTCGTAAGGATATCTGTTTAAATAAAAAAGATTTCTATGCAAGCTCTTAAGTTTGATCGATTAATTTGTGTGTCAGCTATATCCTCTTGTGATCCGATCTGAATAATATTTCCGGATATTATAGCAATGTTTTGGGGAATAAACCGTGCCAAATTTCATGAAGATATCTTATCAAATCAAATAGCTTCCCATATAAGAACTTGATTTTAATCGATCAGTTTGTATGAGAGCTAAATGCTATAGTTGTCGCATCTGAACCGTGATTTCAGAGATTGTAGCATTTTCTTGTATAAAAGTTCATACCAAATTTTGCGAAGATATCTGNAATTCTTACGCTCAAATTGTGCGCCACTTCGTGCGCAATTTTTGTATCAAGCTTGCTGAAATGGCGTAATTATATACTACGGACATGCGTTGTTTATTTTTTTTTGAGATAGAAATGACGTGGCGTCTATTTTCGCAAAACTTCGTTATATTTAATTTTCTATTTTTCCTTTTCATTGACTCTGAATATTAGTTAATCTTCGGAGATAATTGATTTTTCTCTCTGGTGGGGTAGTATCTAATATCTTAAGCTTAGATAAATCAGTTACACATCATTAATTTTTATTACTGAATTGCGTATGACAATGTTTTCTGGGTGAATATTAAAGAGCTTTATCCTTACTTCTTCATTAAAGGATTTAGGCTTTAGAGCAGTTTTTGTATTCATTTACTGTCGAGCTTAGAAATATCGATTCAGAGCTTAAGACAATGGGCCTTAATCGTCTTAGTGCTAAAGAAGATTTCCGGGAAATATTTGCATTAAGATGTGTTATGTATTTGGAAAGCAATTATACTGAAAACAATAAAAAAGCGTTTGGTTGCAACAAAAAATTATTTTCCACAGAAGAACCTGATTTTGATCAGTCAGATTGTATGGCATCTATATCCTATAATAGTCCGATATTAATGGTTCGAACAAATGCATAGCGTTTTAGCTAGAAAATGACGAGTGAAGATTTTCAGATGGATATCTCAAAAACTGTGGGACTAATTCGCGTATATACAGACGGATAAGAGTCAAGCAGAGACGGAAACCCTTTCATTACGTATGGGATATCGGCACATCAAAGTTAGAACCGATTTCATTCATATTTAATGTTAAACCACATATTATATGGTATATTGATCGATTCCAGTCCATCAAAATTTTGAAAATCTTTATAGTTATTGTGTTATTGAAAGCTTAGAGAAGGTCGAGACTGATTTGATTTTCTTTTGACATCCAACAAAAGTATATAGAAAATATATTGTAATTAACGAGTTATCTTAAGATAGCTCGTACTTTGATCTATATATTCGTGACAGAGTCCATTTGAAAAATGGAAATCATATTTAGCGGAATGGAATCAGTTTCGTAATCAAACTACAGTCCTAGTTAACACGTTCGCTTAATTTTGTTATGATATTATTGAGTCATGAGAAAATTGAAATATAAGATATATGAAGGTTAAGGGAAGTACTGAACCGGATTTATTTATTTTTAATACTAAATCACTTTGTTATCAGAAATATATGCTCACCTAATTTCCATTTCAATAACATATCTAACAGTTTGACCGACGTTTTCGAGATAAAGTCAGTCTTGGTTTCCGAGTGCCGCATAATTGGTATTTGGGCGCTAAGAAGGAGCATTTTCTGATATATTCTCAAAATCAAGGGGCCCATTGTCCCATATTTGCAATGATTCATGAGAATATATGAATTTTATTGCAGACGAGGACATACAACTAAAAAACCGACATATATCCGAAAATCAATTTAACTAAATCCTGAGCACTTTGACCTGTGATATCAATTAGTTTTACGTTTAACTAACTACCGTTAGGAGAACAACATTATTATTTTCTCTGAAGAAGAATAATATTTGCAACATTGAAATCTCTGAATTATCTGAAATTTATTTAATCAAACTCTAGAACTAAGTTTTAGTCACCCGTGCGTGTTTTAAGCCAAGGCAACAACAGCTGCGTGTAAAAAATTTAAATTCCTGCAAAGTATTCAATTTGAAAACAAAAGTTATGCAGATCGTCCTCGCTATCTTCGTAGTACTTTTTGTTCTTTCTATATTCTTTTACCACTCCACTTTTCACACAGATTTTCTCATCAGCAAGTTTATACTTTTCAACACGTATTTAGTGGGGCGTTGCTACGAAACCCGCGATTCCGCCTAGCAAACCAACAAATTTTGTTAGCAAACAAACTATTACATATAAGTGTATGTGTGTGTTGGTAAGTTCAATAGCATTCCAGTGAATGCAATTGATTTCTTTATTTTCATTGCCGAATATGTTTCGGTTTGCTTTTGTTGTTGGTGCATCGGTAATTTGTGCTTGGAACTTGCGCCAAACTTTTCCTTCGCTGATTTCGTTAAAGAGTTGTAAACTCGTCTGGCGATAATGGGCTGTGTGATGATTCGTGAAATTCCAAAGCAGACAAAGAAGAAGTGGAATGAAGAGAAGGAAAAGAAAAAACTGCCGCAACTTATCAACAATCGATTTGCGGAACTTTGTTGGTCATTTGTGGGCATAACAGCATGAAAATTATGAACTTTTGACGTGTGACTGTGAACATTTTCTCGCTTTTCTTTTTATAGAATTTAATACTTGGGTGTCTTTAGTGTAGTTTATAATAAAATGTTGACATTTGAAATGGTTTAGTTATACTTTTAACATATAATATAAATATTTTAGTTCCTTGAGCTTATTTGTTTTTGGAGCAGTTGTAAGGTTTCGGCCAACATATTTCGGCTGCACCTATATAATTGCTTTCACGGGTGTAAAAACATTTTTATTTTGATTTGATAGATCAGTTTGAATATCACATATATGCTATAGTGGTCCAATCTGAACAATACGTTATGAGGTTGTAACGTTATCATCGATAATAATTAAAGCCAAATTTGGTGAAAATTTCCATACAAGCACTTGATTTTGATCTTTATTCTTTAAGAGAAAGCCAGGTGTGCAAAATTTCATATCTATACCTCAAAAACTGAGCAACTAAGTCGGGCATATACAGTCAGCCGAACATTTCTAAGACGACTGCCCGTCATGCTGATCATTTATAGATATACTATATATAGTGAAAGCATGTAAAAAGCTCTGAAATCTTCTTGTTAAAGTTTGCGAACTAATTTCTATCAGAAATATGTTCAAGATTGGATTCATAAGACACTTTCCACTGAATTTTAAGCTTTGATATGTAAATTAATGTGTTGTTTAGCTTTAAACAATACCTGCAAAAATGGACTCCTCAATATTCTTTAACTCGTCTTAGAAGCTATTTTTGGTGTTTATAGATATATATTTATTTTATATATTATATATTAAGAATACTGACCGAGGACTTTACTGACTGAATTTCCAGTGTAATGTTTAAACCATGACTTTAGAAAATATTAAATTTATTCACTGTTCACAAACGAAAAATCTAAAACCCGAAATAAGAGATCAACATATACTTAGCGAACCATCCTGACTTCCTAAAATATTCGATTAATTGCATTATATTATTCTGGAATTCCTTGTGGGAGAAAAAACTCTGGGTTTATTTTACAAAAGTTATCTGTAATATTGTGGTGGGTTCTTAAGACGGAGTTTATTAAAAATCGTAGAAGCTCATTAACAAAATATTGTTTTAATTGACACTTTTCTGCTCCTAGTTCCTTAAAATCAAATGCAACAGAGCTAGAACTATTGGAATATTGTTCTCACTCTCTTGTATCGTTGTAGTGGTTAACTTAACAGTTTTTTACCAATTTAATTTGATATGCCCCTAAAAAGTAATTATACTATTTATTGACCCAAAAACTGGCAACAATTAAAGTTCAAAAATCCTGTTTTTAAAGGACTGGGACGAAGATCACATATTTTAAAATTTTTCCGAACCCAATTTTTCAAAGATCATGTAAATAATTAAATATGATTATTATAATTTACCTCATCATCGTAATTATCGCCTTCCGCCATGTTCGCCAAGTAATGTTCAGCTACTTAAAAACAATTTTGAAAATGTGTCTGAAGCACACGCTGCCAGCTGTTAATTTTTTTGGTGAGTTGGTCACTGCTATAGTTGAAAACCCGTTATGTTGCTTAAAGTTTCTTAAAATGCTTTTTGCTGTTTTGCTTTACATTGATTTGGTTTGCTATTTTAATGTGAGCTTGGCTCTCTAAAGCAACTTGTAGTAAATGCTCCCGCTATGGTCATTGTATAGACATAACGGTAGTTGTATTTAATGCTGTTTTATTACTTGTATATTATTTTACAGTATTGTTTTTGTTAACAATTCCTTTTTAAGTCCTGTGTGAGCTATATAAGTTGGCTTCTTAAAATCCTCTGTGCTTGTTGCTCAATATCCTTGACTGGCTTATAGTGTTAAGTTTCAGTTACAATATTTTGTTGCTGTTGTTACTCTTGTTATTATAAATAATGTTCTTTCTCTGCGCTTTACAGCTGCCTTCTCACTTATTCCTCTTAACCTCGTTGCAGTTATTTATTTCTTCTTATTTTTCTAAATATCTCTTACTCACACTGCTGTTGTAATTACTATTGTAATTCTTCGTAATTAACCTTTTCAGTATTTTAATAAATATTTATAGCACTCGGAGCCCTCTTTGATCTTCTTTTCTCTCGGCTAGAGTCAATATTTTCGCTGCGCCCACTTATGTAGCATTACTATATTATTTATATGCACTCTGTATACTTTTAGGCGCCTTAAGCTTTATTCCTCTTAATCTGCTGCATACTTTTTAGCGTTGTCATTATAAGTTCTCAGCATTAAATTGCGCCAACTGCATGAAAAATAGAAGAAAGTAGAAAAACTCGTTAGCTGTTTCTAGAATTTTTCCATAAATTCGTTTGTATGCGTGTGTTTGTAAATGCATGTGTGTTTGTATGTGTGGCCGAATTGTTCTATTCATTGTTGCTTTGCTTTGTTCGTGTTGTTCTTGAGTACAATCATAAATACAAATACATACATACAGACATTATAAGTGTTGCATACTTTTCTGCGCATCCGTTTTTTGCATAAGCACATACATAGGTATATACAGCTTGCGTGTGCTTATTGGTCATGTTCTATGTGTGTGTAGTGAGCGTGCTGTGGTAATTAGTGCGTGCGTGTAAATTTTCTGTTGTAACGATTTACATAAATTGTTGCCAAATTTTCTTTTTGTTAGCTGCCATGTTATTGTTGTTGGTATTATTCTTACACACACATATATGGGTATAATAGGTACAACAATATGCATGCTTAGTTAGTTTGTTGGTAGTTGTGTGTAGCTTACATGCGACAATAATATTTTTAGTGTATGTTTACTTTTGTTGTTGGTGAAATAAGAGAGTGTAATACGATCATAGGGTCGGTAGGAAATAAATTCAGTATCGATAGAGATAGATAAATACGCAAAGTTTTTACAAGCTTTTATATATAATTATGAAATCAAATATTACCTAAGAAAACAAAACAAAATATATATCACAAAAACGTCTGAGACATTATTATTCTTTTTTTTTGAGAAGGCCTTTGATATAGAGCTATGATTAACTCTGTCATTTTCTGTACTCACTCGCTCAACTTAATCAAGCCCTCTACAGCACATTAATCGAAAAATATCTTCGAGATTACTCTTGATATAAGATCTTAAGTATTGCTGACAGCATAACACACTTTCAAAATACGTAATGACATTTTCATTAATCAACTTAACCGCAGCTATCTACAGCACTTTAATAAAAGAATTGTCAATTACACGGGATATTCGAAATTGATATTTTGAAGGATTTTCAAAATGCTTTATAACATCTTCGTTATAGAAATGAACCAAAGCCAACTGCAGAATATCATTAAAAGGCAAATTTCACTGTATCTTTGAGAAGGCTCTTCACATTGGATCGTAAGTATTACTGAATTATTAAGAGATTTGAAAAGAACTTTATAACACCTTCTTAACTCATTTGGATCAGAGCCAGCTACAAAACATACCTAAGTAGAAGTTTTGAAAAATATCATCGGTATTTTCGAGAAGTTTCTTTTAGTGACATCGTAAGTGCTACTAACATTTTAAGAGACTTTAACATAGCTTTATAACACCTTTTTGATTCAACTGGACTAAAGCCAACTAAAGCACATTAATCGAAGAATTGTCAAATATCACTGAGTTACACTTTGCTTCACAGCTAACTAAATTACTTGTATTCACTGGTTCAAAGCATTGATCTGAAGAATTTAATTGAAATTATTCTGACGTAATCTCTGAAGATTAATATCACATACGTTATCAAAACCCTATACGTAAAATTAACTAATTTTTTAAGCAACGTTGGTATTAAAATATATAATTAAAATATATCCATCATTATTTTTATGTCCAACATATATATCTAAATAAGTCTTAAATTTACAATTTTGCCAAAATATACTATTTTTACAGAATCCCTTTAAAGTTTCTTATAAGGTCTATATTAATTTAAGAAAAGATAAGTTCACAAACTGGTTTTAATTTATAAGAACCATACCCGATATGGTATCATTCTGTCTCTATACGTTCTCCCATTGCTTGTCTAAATAGATATTTTCTTCCAAACATTTCCCTTGAAACTTTTGTCCCAGTTTAATTTTCACATTTCTAGTGTAATACTCTCAAAACTTCAAGATAAAAATAACAATGTATTTTCAAAAAAATTTGAATCCTTTGGGGAACTCAACAGTTAAAATTATGACCTTTGAAAACATTTTTTCGCTTCCAAGTGCTAATATTATTCTCTAAAAAGTATTCAGAAACTATCAAAAACTCTTTTGTTACCAGAAGTTAATATTATTCCCCCCAAATAATACCCACAAACTATCAAAAGTACATTAAAAACATTATATAATTGGGCTTGAGTGTCAAAATATCCCATCCGTTTACAATTTATACAAATTTGGTAACAAACTATTTTTAATTCTCTATAATCCCTCCGCAATCCAACACATCTAAAATAATTGAATAATTGTATACTATATATTTCCTACTGGGTATCCCCCAGCTCACTGTTTGGTTACCGTTAGGCTTTTGCAACTCGTTATTTATATTTTATTGCCATGGCAACTGCGGCTTTTTAAACCTTCAGAATGTGCGCTCTTCTCACTTTTCTTACTCAAGTAGCGCTGTTAATTTTTTCTGCCAGGCAATTTATTCAGTATGTGCGTTGGCCTAGTGTTTGGGTTGCTTTTGTGATTCTTTAGTTTCACACAGTACTTTTGTGCTTCTATTTTTTCGCTTAATTACTGCGCTAATTATATGCGGCTTAAGTGCGAGTACATGTTCATTTTCATATATTATGTAGATGGTTATACATAAGTAAGGATGTAGATAGTATATGTTAGCAATTTTTGATTTTGTTGTAACATGCTGAACAATTAGTTGAGCTGTGCTAAGATAGGTATTTTCATGCTTAGTATAATGTATTAGAAGAGTTCTCAAATTGAGGGATATAAATTGTTTCGACCGCTTACCTAAACTTCAACCTCTACCTCTATACTATTAGTGTAATTTTTTCGATTTGAAACTAGAGTGTGTGTCACAAAAATGTTAATATTCTAAAATTAAAAAATTAAAAAAATGATTCTGATTCTTCCACTTAGTACCTAGAAATTATTTCTTTATATTTTTTCGACTGCATTGCGAATAAAGTTTAATCCTTATGTAGAAAAAAGTCATTCATTTGAAGAGAGTTATCTCCAATTCTAATAGTCTGACTAAAGCTACCCTCATTCATTTCGTGTTTTGAGGAGACATACCGTCGAACTGAGTTAAAGAACATTACTCTGATTCTTTCTTTTAGTATCCAAAATCTAATCTCCCGTCAGTAGAGTTATCTGTAATTTTTGTGATCTGCAGGTTTCTACGAAAACTTAGGTCTAGTTCTCTTTTATAAAGAATTATCTTTGTTTCTAAAAAAAACTCGATGACTTTGCGTAGTAGTCCCATGCGCTATCATCGACTTATTTTATGGCAACTGCTCAGATCGGATGCTAACTTAGATGTGGCGCCTGCCCACATCAACGTTTCCTGAAATGAGGATTTTTAATTAAGATCTGTATACCTGGAACAGTTGAGATAAGGAATTAGCACCTTGGATCTGGTTTTTGCCAATTATGATAGTCCCTTGCATATGCCAAGAATAAAATAAAGAATGTTGCCTACATTTAGGGTTGCCAGCAGTGCTTTGGCAGTATAAAACGCGGCTTTAACGCGCGGTGTGATTGCTGCTTTTGTCCTACTTCTAAATTTGCTATTGATATTGAGAAACTTAAAAAAGTTCAGAGATGCCACAAAATTATCAGCGCTTGAAAACTATGAACAAACTAAAAATTTAAGTTCGCCAATAAAGATGTGCGCAAATTGGTTGCAAAAGCGTTAGTTAGTTGAGCGCTTTAAAGTAGGCAATGAAAATATAATATACTACTTTCTATTTTTTTGGCGCTAACGCTGCTACTTTCTACTTTCACGGTTGCTGATTGTGTAGGTTGCGCAGCGGTGATTTATGTGCAGCCCTTGGGTTAGTTTATGTAACCGTGTATATATCTGTATGTTTGGAGCTATGTTTGCGTATGACATCTAGTGAAATTTAACGTCTGCTAGTTTGAAAGCGCAATTTATCATTCTGTATGCACATTTCAACGGGTAATTTTCCACTTGAGAAATTTCGAATGGAAGAATAAATTCTGCAAGCGAAAAATGCAATTGATAAAAATGGCGAACAATATGCAGAGCAGCATTCTGCAACAACGAAAATTCAAATCAATCAAGGATATGCGCAGTATATTTATGCACACGCAAATGCTCCCCACTGCTCAACTATGGCGAAAGTGTGTCAATTAGATTTAGTAATTGCCTGAATAATTGCTTACAAGTTCAGCGCGCTAACTGGCATTTATGCAGCTGTTATCGTTATCGCGCTATTATTATTAATTTATATTAACTCAGAAGCGCGCTTAATCCTTTTTGACTATAATTAAATTTACACTTCCTGCAAATAAGTTCTAGAACGCCCACAGGCAAAGGTGCAAAATCAATAAGCGCGCCAACTTGTAGCAGTAACACCAACACGCAAATGTCTTTTTCACACATACATACACATACACAGTTATATATAGCAGAATATCCTTGCTTCCAACTGTTTTTTGCTGCTGTTGTGAATTGTCGGCCCCCTCGGTGACACGAGAATGGACGCTTAAGGCCCTACGGTTATTCGCAGTGACCCGCATATCGTGTGCATTGAAGCGCGAAGAGGCCATTTTTTTGCGCTTGGTTGGCGCAGTGTGGCATGATGGGAAAAATAAATTTCCGCTACTCACAAATTCACTCGCATGCAAGCGGCGATAAAAAATTAAAAACTTTAGTTGCAAAAATATTTCTTTCCGCCATTTCACGTTCATGTGAAAAATTTGGTTTATTTATTAACACATTTTTTTTTTTCATTGTGTATTTTATTAATTTTTATTTACTTTTTCAATCTTTATTTAATTTTTTCTTATTTTGAACACCTTTTCTCCTGGAATTTCCCCCTTATTTATAACCGTTATCGCTCAGGCGTGTGTGTTTGTATGTGTGTCTCTTCCGCTATATTATCTTTTGGGGCGCTCGCATATTGTGTATGATTCTTCATTCTGCATACTTTGTTGTTTATTTTAGTATTTTTGCCATTTTATTCGCTAGTCGTTTGGAACATTTTTAGCCTAAGGGATAACAACACATTACGCATGTATCGAATATACATATATTTGAGACTACTTTTCGAAAATTTG